AATCAGGGTGAAGTCTCTCTCAGGGAGGAGTGATAGGGAATGGCAAAGGACACACCGACAAAGGAGATTAATCAGAACTGGCTTTGACAAACACTATGGCAATTAGACAATTAAAACAGACATTCAAGGGTGGGGGGAAAACGAACTGAGGAGGAGAGTAGAGAAAATAGTGCAACAATGAATGAATGAAAACCCAAAATCTCTGTAAATGTTCATTAAAACTAAAAAAAAAAAAAAAGTAGCATGCAAACATGGAATTAGGCTTTAAGTTTCAACCACAACACTTGAAACCACCTAAATCTCACAGTTTAAAAATTTTTTTACTAGATTTCATTTTACTTACAGGATTCTTGCTTTGCCACTCAACAGGATAGTTGTAATCTTGCATGATCCAGGGATGGTTCAACAGATTTTCCACAGAAATTCGTTTCTTTGGGTCCACCTAGTGGCCATTGAGAAGTAACCAAGAGATAAATGCTTAAATAAAGAACATAAAAACATCTTTCCTCCCGAGACCTCAAAATTCATCAAAACAGATGTAAACTTTATCACCACAAAAAACGCTGTCGAAGACCTTAAAATGGCCTTGAAATAAATTCTTTAAAAAGGCAACAGAGGCAAGAAAAACTATAGCGACTAACATAGGCTTAGAAGATAAACGTTTAACAAACATGAACTTCATTGGTATGGACATTATTCATGAAGTTCAGTCAATCTATTGTATGATGTAATAGTCTTTTGCTGGAAAACCTATTCACAGGAAATATTCACCAATTTAATATTCAAGCAGCCACAAAGCAGGGCATTCATACTGAATACGCAATCTCTACCTCCAATGAGCTTACAATCACATAGAACAAGTTGAAAAGACACCTTTCTTTTCCATTTGTAATTTTCAAATGTGAGGAGAGAAAAATTAATCAATGAAGATTAAGGGGTTTTTTGGAGTCTACAGGAAAGGGTAAGGCATTTTCAATCTCATTATGGAGATTTGGTGGTCTGGCCCCACAATCAAGGTGGGTGAGCCAGAGGTAAGTTATGAATAAAAGGTGGAGATGGCTTAATAATGGAAAAACTGGAAGATATTTTGAATCCCTAAAAATAATTTCAAAATGTCCACTAACAAAGATAATTGGAAAAGTGGAGGGTTGTGAAAGAGAGGAAGACTCTCAATGAGGTGGACTGACACAGTGACTGCAACAATGGAATTGAGAATGTGAGGGTGGTGCAGGATAGGAAGACGTTTCCATTCTCTGTTCACAGGGTCACTACAAATTGTAGTTGACCTGAAAGCACTTAACGGCAACAAATAAGATATTTATATTTTAAAGGCTTTTGTATCAATCTCATTTTATCCTCACAACATGACATAGCAACGGGAGAGGCTCCAAAGGCTCATTTACAGGCAGAAGGTTTGCCCACTGGTAGATACCTAGACTTCAGCCCTCCTATCTTTCATCCTCAGAGGTTAAACTAAATCAGTAGTTTTC